TATGGACTGAAACCTCTACAAACTGTGAGCTAAATGAACCTTTTCCCCTTTAACTTTTCATGTCCACTATTTTGTCTCAGCATTGAGACAAAAGAAACTAAGACACTATAGTGTTTTGTTTTTTGAGACATGGTCTCATTTTGTAGTTCAGACTGGCCTTGAACTCACCATGTAGCCCAGGCTGGCCACCAATTCACAGTGATCCTCCTGCCTCAGCCTCCCAAGTACTGGAATTATAGGCATGTACCACCATTATCATACCATACATTATCGGAGACCCCCTCAGCAGATCCTGATCATCTTCTTGGTGCCATGGTGCAAGGCAGGAAGAAAGACTCAGGGACAGAATTAAAGTATGAAATGAGAGGGCCAGGAATTTAGCTCAGTGGTTTTGCCGCCTGCTCATGCTGGCCTTTGACTTTCAAACCTCCTGTCCCTGCTGTTATGGTTTGTATCTAGATGTCCCCCGAAAGCCTCATGCACTCATAGATGGGGCAATTTGCAGCTTGTTAGATCTGTGGCATGTGATTTTAGGATTAAGGGAATGTGATATTAAATTAATCAATTAGCATGGAATTAGCATGGTTCTGGGTGTGGCTGAATGTACTTACTGAAGGTGCAAGCCCACCCTGGGTGGAGAGTGGCACCACCTAAAAGGCTTGTAGCCTGGATGGGACAAAAAGGGAAAGGCAGGCTTGCTTCTGCTTGCTGCTGCCACTTCCTGCCTGCTGCTTCCCTTATGTGGTGTTCCTCTGCTATGCCATCCTGCCTTGGAGGGAGCCAACTATAGACTGAAAATTCTATATGCTGTGAGCTGAAGCGAACCTTTCCTCCTTTAACTTGTATCAGGTGTTTTGTCCTGGCAATGAGAAGAGTAACTAAGACACCTGCATAACTTGGTTTGTGCAACACTACACCTGCCTCATGTTTAAAGCTCAGTAATATTATATGTATATAGCACATTTCATTTGTTTCTTCATGAACTGATGGAAGCTTGTGTGTTTTTCCACTTTTTGGTCATTGTGAATATTGCTGTTACAAACATTGGTGCATAATTCTCATACATGAAATGTGATCAAAATATACAATGACTAAAAATTTTTAAAAAAATATATGACTATTTACATTTTTGAAAACATTGCCTTTAACCTTCCCCCTCACTTCAAACATACTTATCCCATTGTTGTTGCTACTTTCTGAAGTAGTTCTAGAAGTCCTCTTTTGTAAATGTCTTACAAGGTAGGATCAAACATGGTGAATCCTGCTGCCGACTGTCATCCAGAAGAAAGGCTGGCTCATAAAATATTGCTGTGTGTGCTTTTCCAAAGTCAAAATGACCATTAAAGGTAAAAATTTTGAATCAATTCAGAATAATGAGGCAGAGCTGGGCATGGTGGTTTATGCCTATAATCCTAGCACTCAGAGGCTGAGGCAGGAGGACTGCCACAAGTTTGAGGCCAGCCTGAACTACTTAATGAGTTCAAGGCTAGCCTGAACTGTGTAGCAAGACCCTGTCTCAAACAAACAAACAAACAAACAAACAAATAAAAAGAACAATGAGGCAGCAATAACAGCATAACTAAAGACACTCATGAAAGAGGATTTCCAAAACTGCTTCAGACAGTGGCAAGAATTATGGAATAAATATGTTTAAATGAGAGGGAGTATTTTGAGGGGGATTAATGTCAATGTGTTTTTTACTGTAATAAATTTTAAAAATTCAAAATTCATTTTTTTATGAAACCTTATATATAATTTTAGGCAAAAGAGTCCACTAGATTCACTAGTGCCATTTATTCTCTTGTGGTAGTCACTAATACTGTTCACCAAATATTTCCAGCTTTCTGCCATCCAGGAATGTGCTAAGATTGCAACTTCTGGCTCTCTTGAGCTTGTGCGGGTCCCTGTGACTAGTTCTGGCCAACATATAAAGCCATACTTCTGATTTTGGGCCAGAGCATTTTATGGCCACTGTGAATTCTCTCTGCCGCAGTAAACAATATTTAAGATAGGTGCTGATCTGTTGCTCCAGGTGTTAGGAGGAGGAGATATGGAAGAGAGCCGTAGCTGATCCTTGGATGACTAGGTCGTACTATTGACTGAGCTGTGTTGGGGAAGCTTATATGTCGAAGCCCAAATATGGTATTAGGAAATAGGGCCATTAGCAACGTTAGTTACAGTTAGGTCATTAGAATAAGGTCCTGATCAATGGGACTCGTGTTCTTCCAAGAGGAAATGTTAAACACCCACCCTCCCCACACACTCCAATATGCACCAAGGAAAGGCTACTTGTGGACATAAATAGATAGCAGCTGTTTTCAAGTCAGGAAATGCCCTCCCCAGAAAGTGACTTGGCCGGAAACTTGGTCTTGGACTGCTTGCCTTCAGAACTAGGAAAATTAAGTCTGTTGTTTAAGCCACTCAGTGGAGTTTTATTATTGCAATCTGAGTAGACCAACTCATGTAGTAAATGCCATCCGGAGTGTGAATTTAACCGGGTTGTTTTGGCTCCTAAATTTAGGCTTGTTTATAACATTAGCATAACTAAAACTATCCCTGTTCTTTGGCAAAAAAGAAGAAAGATTTACTGAAAATGTTCTACTTTATTTACAAAGACAACTCCAATACACATACACATAGCTGGACTTGAAGATCTTGATGAGAATGACAGTGAGACATCAAGGCTTGAGAAGGCTTGTAACATTCCACAAGGAAATAATAAATTAATGAAGTCAATACATAAAGAAATATTAAGCTGGGTGTGGTGGTGCACGCCTGCAATCCCAGGAAGCTGAGCCAAGAGGGTCACTGTGAGTTTGAGGGCAGTCTAGGCTACATAGCAAGAACCTGTCTCAAAAGAAAAAAAAAAAAGAATATACCCATTCCAAGTCACACCCTGGTGGCCCATCTCCAGTTGGGCCCACTTGCTCACTGAACTGGAGCCTATCAAAAGATAATCCACTGGTGACTACAGCACCCCCAAACCCAGTCACCTCTCAAAAGCCCCACTTTTGAACACATGAGACTTGGAAAGATATTTTAGATTTAAACCTTAACACTCTTTGATCTAATATCTTAAAAAAACATGCTTTACATCTATTCAGTTTTCTAAACAGACTCACTGCTTGGCATGCTGATTTTCACAACACTCAACTATCTTGAAAAAAGTTTTTTTTTTTTTTTTTTTTTTTTTTTTTTTTTTTTTTTTTTTTTTTTTCTGAGACAAGGTCTCGTTATACAGCTCAGGCTGGCCTTGAACTCACCATGTAGCCCAGGCTGCCCTCAAACTCATGGCAATCCCCCTGCCTCAGCTTCCCCAGTACTGGGATTACAGGCATGTGCCACCACATCCGGTCTTTTTCTCCTTCTCTCCTCCTCCTCCTCCTTTTTTTTAGACATGGTCTCACTAAGTTGCCCAGGCTGGCAATCCTCCTGTCTTAGCCTTCTGAGTACAGGATGACAGGTGGCTCACAGCACACCCGGATGCCTTTTTCTTTTTAACTCCTGAGGGCCTTTGAAATCTGTAGATCTAGCTCTAGCAAATTAGTTGTCCAGAGCAGAGACAGAGAATATAAAGATGAGTAAAAACCAAGTGTCTCAAGGATATGAGAAGTCAAAATACCCACCAGGATAAAATACTTGAAAAACATCTGTCTGATAGAGGACTGTTATCCCAAATGTAAGAAACTCTTAAAGCATAACAATAAGAAAATGAACAACCCAATTTAAAAATACTCTGAAGAGGGCTAGAGATGCAGCTAAGTGGTAGACAACTTGTCTAGCACATGTGAGGCCCTCGCTTCTATGCTCAGTACTGGAAAAAACAAAAATAAAAACAAAAACAAACTCAGAAGACCTGAATAGGTATCTCATCAAAGATGATGTAGAGGTGGCAAGTAGTTATATGAGAAAATGTTCAGCTCTCCTGAGAGAACTGTTAGTTGGAATAATGAGGTACCACTACACTAGAATAGTTAAAATCCAAAACACTGTTAATAACAAAGGCTGGCAAGGGTATGGAGGAATAGGAAGTCTCGTTCATTGTTGGTGGGAATGCAAAATGGTATACCCACTGGAGAACACAGGGTGACAATTTCTTCAAAATTAAATATACCCCTACCATATGATTCAAAGTCACACGCCTGGATATTTAGCCAAATGAACTGAAATCTCACACCGAGCCATGAATCGTCTTTTTTGGGTCTGCTACATGGGGGAAGCCAGGGCTTAAACACAGGTTTATTCTTACTCACATGAATCCTGCTCTTCTGCTGGCCAGAGAACAAGCAGCAAGTTACTATGTATTCCCATATTCAAAGATATCTTTTTTATTTTTTTCACTAGACCCCACTGTGTGTTTTTAAACTTTTTTAAGTTCAGACTAACAGAACTGTAAGTTGTGTGAATAATACAAAGAATTCTTGTATACTTTTCACCCACATTCCTAAAATGTTAACTCTTTACTGCGATTTCCTTTATTTCTTCCTCTAACACATTTTTTTTCTCAGTACCATTTGAGATTAATTTTCAGACATGATGCTCCTTTATCCTAACATATGCCAACTTTTATTTCCTAAAAACATGGTCATATAACTCCAGTAAATTCTCAAGATTGGAAAATTAACACTGCTACAACGCTCTAATCTTCAGACAGTAGTCAGTCCCAGTGCATCTCTTTATAACAAAAGAAGATCTTGTGTTATGCAATGCATTCACTTGCTGTGTCTCTTTATTCTACTTCAGTTGGAACAGCTTCTTCATCTTTGTCTTTCATAATATTGACTTTTTTTTCTTGGTTTTTTTGAGACAGCGTCTCACTGTGTAGTTGAGACTGCCCTGGAACTCACTATGTAGCCCAGGCTGGTCTCGAACTCACAGAGATCCTCCTGCCTCAGCCTCCCGAATTCTGGGATTACAGGCATGTGCTACCACACCCAGTTAATGTTAATTTTTTTTTCTTTTTTTCGGTACCGGGGATTGAACTCGGGTCCTTGCGCTTGTGAGGCAGGCCACCGAACCGCTGAGCTAAATCCCCGGCCCACATAATATTGACTTTTTAAAAGAGTGGCGACCAGTTATTTTGTAGGATGCCACTCAATCTGTGTTGTTGCTTCTTCAGAAGATGCAATAATATATTTTGGGTAGAAACATCACACAAATGTTGCTGTGTTCTTCTCAATGCATCATAACATGTCGGGGGCAGCAGGTGTTATCGCTGTACTTGGGCTGTTAGCTTTGACTACTGGGTTAAGGTGGCATCTGTCAGGGTTCTCCACTGAAGAGCCTGTCAATGTTATCTCCTCTGCAAGAAATCCTGTAGTGCAGAGAAAGCACAGCAAAGAATGTTCATCAGAGAAGTGCAAACAATCCTCCCAATTTCAGCTTTAGTGGCCTTTGTGGGGATCCTCCCCCATGCACATCTTTATAGATTTAGAAGTTTTAGTTTTGTGTTCACATTTCTGTACTTAGCATCTCTTGATTTGTTGGTACCTCCAAAGACGGGCACAAGCCTAGCATATAGCTGATGCTCATAAATGTTGAATGGTTGAATTAAATGGATGAGCAAGAGAAGGGAGCAGGTAAGAAAGAGCAGGAGGAGGAAAAGTCTAGGTTAAGGATGGGCTTCAGGGGGCCTTTCCTCAAACAGACGGCACCTGCATTTGGAAATTGGAAGGGTGGCATCTTCCATGTGTCTGGGTGGGTTCTCTGAGTCCACAAGGAGCAAAGAAGACAGGGGCAGGACTGGAGGGCACTTGTGTTATTACAAGTGACCTGGGTTATATGTTAAGCAAGATCATAGTGGTCTCTACATTTAAGATGGCTCTTTCCCTGAACTCCTGGGAAGAAAGGTGAAAGAGAGTCAGTGGTGATGTCCTTCAAAGAACAGCAATTCAGTGTTGAGGTGGACTGAGGAGGAGAGAGGCAAAAGTGGTCATTGAATGATTCCCCAAAATTAGGAGTGATCCATCTGTGCAAGAGCCAGAGGGAAGAAAGAAAGATGCATCAGGTGCTAAACACCAACCCTGTGATGTACGGGAGCTGTCTAAGTGTGAAATGAAGTCCTACCAACCATCCAGGTGTGCAGACATGGTTCTGATAAAGGATCTGGTCTACAGAGAGAATGTAGCCACTCAAATGAAATAAAATAAAAAGATTTTACAAATGCAAGAAAAATAACTATCAGGAGCAAATTTTAAATGGAAAAGGGAAAATCTAATTTAATCCAACCTGCAAACATCACAAGTAAGAAAAACAGGCATAAGATAAATAAGCTTCTAAAGGCAAAACCTCATATTAAAACAAAAAAGAGTTTTCTCAGGAAGCTCACATTTCCTGTCTACTTTGTTTGCTTGGAAAACAGAAGAGTTGACCATCTGGGGTAATTAACTGTAGGGGAAAAAATATCAAAACTTGGGCAAACAAAGATTAGTATCTAGATAACAAAAATAAAAATGAACAAGGAGCTAAAAAACAAACTGAGTGAAATAAGTTTAAAGGGAAATAATTCTGAACAAAATTCAGAAGACTCTGGAACAAATTTATTCTGTCAGATAATTTTCTGCATGAGAACCCTGGGAGAGCTCTTGGTTTTTTTGAAACCACCTCAGGATTCAAATAAACTTTGGAAAAGCTTTTTTAAAAACCAATAGAAAGATCTATTAAAATATTCTTTTAAACAGCAAAAATTTCTCCTTTAAAATTCTACAAGCTGCTGGGCAAAGCGGCACACTCACCTATAATCCCAGCACCTCAGAAAACGGAGGCAGGAGGCTATGAAGTTTGAGACCAGCCTGGGCAACTCAGCAAGACCCTTCCCCAAGAATGAATGAATGAATGAATAGGGCTGGTGGTGTGTCCTAGTGGTAGAGCATTTGCCTAACATTTGTGAAGCCCTTGTTTAAAGCCAGTATTGCAAATACAAACAGGAAAAACTATAACCCAAAGCCACAAGCTCTAAAATGATTAAAGGAACTGGACATAAGTAACTGGCTCACTCAGCCCTTGAACCTGGACTTTGGCATACCGTGCTTTAACAATATGTTGCACCAAAAATCACGCAAGATAATTTGGAAGGAAGAGTGTGAGTCTGAACTTCTCAGGTGTTTTCCCTGCCCTTTCCTTTTCAGTGCTAACTAAAAACGCAAATCTTCATAATTAAGCCTCAGAAAGTTAGGGTAACATTTCCTTACACTTGGAGGGAGAGACACCACTGCATTATAAAACTAGGCCAAATAATTTGGCTGGATAGGTAGTAAGTGAAAATCTCTCTCAAGAATATCAGTTTGCTTCTCTTGTGCAAAATAGATATGTTTGTAACCAATATCAATTTACCCTGTTTTCTGTCACAAATTTTTATTTTCCTCAGAAAGTTAGGGTAACATTTCCTTACACTTGGAGGGAGAGACACCACTGCATTATAAAACTAGGCCAAATAATTTGGCTGGATAGGTAGTAAGTGAAAATCTCTCTCAAGAATATCAGTTTGCTTCTCTTGTGCAAAATAGATATGTTTGTAACCAATATCAATTTACCCTGTTTTCTGTCACAAATTTTTATTTTTTAATTATTTGAATGGAGGTTTTTTTTTTTTGGTCTCCCAGGACTTATAAATTGCTGTTATGTCTTATAAAATTATCAAAACACTCATTCTGTTTGGTTGCTGCTGTCAGGTGAATTGTGGGCCTCCAAAAGATGCTGAAGTCCTAATCCCCCAGTACTTTGAAAGGGATCTTATCTGGAAACAGGGTCTTTGTAGACGATCTAGATAAAATGAGGTTTTAAGGTGGTCATTAAGTGATATCCTTATGAAAACAAGGCATTTGGACACAGAGACACACCGAAGGGAGATGATGTAAAGACACAGGAGAATGCCATTTACAAGGAACATCTGAGAGTACCAGAAGCAAGGCAAGAGGGAAGGAACTGACCATCCCTCACAGCTCTCAGAAGGAAAACCCTGCCTGGGATTTAGCTCAGTGGCAGTGTGCCTGCCTCACAAGTGCAAGGTCCTGAGTTCAATCCCCAGTAAACACACACACACACACACACACACACACACATACACACACACACATACACACACACACACGCACAGAGGAAGGAAAATGCTTCTTATACCTTGATTGCAGATTTCTGGTCTCCAGAGCTGCAAGACAATAAATTTCTATTTGTTAAGCCATTCAGTGTGGGGTACTTATGCCAGCCTCAGAAAATTAATAGAGCAAGGGGTGGTAGCACACCCGTAACCCCAGCACTCTGGGAGACAGGGGGATTGAAAACTTGAGCCCAGCTCAGGAAGAGCCTGTCTCAAAATAAAAAACAAAATGGGCACGGGATGTAGTTCAATGCAAAGGCCCTGGGTTCAATCTCCAGTGCCAGCAAAGAAACAAAACAGAAACAGCAGCTGCGAAAATAGGACAGAACCACTGGCACTTTCTTTTCTCCTTACATGCATGACAGCAAACATTTTTTTAAAAATTTAAAATAACCAAATCTGTTTCATCAGACAGCCATAATTTGATTATAAATACAGTGCTTTTTCCAGTACACCATAGGTGCAAATGGGCACATTAGCATAACTAGGCATTTATTTTTCTTCTGTCATTAGTTTTTGTTTTGTTTGATTTAGACAGTGTCTTGCTATGTAGATCAGGCTGGTCTTCATTTCACTATGTAGCCCAGGTTGGCCTTGAACTTGTGGTGACCCTTAGCCTCAGCCTCCCAAGTGCTAGGATTACAGGCTTGCATTAGATGCCCAGCTGTTCATTTTCATTATTATTAACTTATAGGTGCTTCTTTTAAAATTAGGCATCTTGGGGCTAGGGGTATAGCTCAATGGTAGAGTGCTTGTTTAGAATGTGCAAGGCCCTGGATTTGACCTCCAGAACTGGGGGAAAACAAAACTCAGTATTTTATATCTATTGCGAAGATTTTTCTCTCAATCTGTCAGTTTACCTTTAAAAATAGTATTATTAAAAATAAAATAAATAAAAATGGTATTATTTTCCATAGATATTTTTATGTAGTCAAGTGTATTCATATATTTTTTTTTTTTGATCGGGGATTGAATTTGGGTCCTTGCGCTTGCAAGGCAGGTGGTGGGACCACTAAGCTAAAGACCTGGCAAGTGTATCAATCTTGCATGGATTCTAAATTCTGTATGTGTATATATATATATATTTTTTTTTTTTTTAATTTTTTTTTTGTACTGGGGATCGAATTTAGGTCATTACACTTGCAAGGCAGGCGCCAGAACCACTGAGCTAAATCCCTGGCCCTATTCTGTATATTTTTAAGGAATGCTTTTTCCATTCCAAGATTGAAAAAATCTATTTTCCACAACATTTTTTGTTTTATCTTAAATAAAAAGTTTAGAGGCTGGGTATGGTGGTGCACGCCTGTAATCCTAGCACTTGGGAGGCTGAGGCAGGAGGACTGTTGAGAATTCCAGGCCAGCCTGGGCTACACAGTGAGTCCAAACCTCACCTGAACTACATGGCAAGACCCTATCTCCTCCTGCCACCAAGAAAAAAAGTTTAGAGACCCAAGTTCATGCTGTTCCAGATGGAGAGCCAATTGATAAGCATCATTAATTGAATTCAAGTCTTCCTACTAATCTAGAATGTCACTTTTACTCTAAGTTCCTAGACATACATGGGTCTGTTCCTAGCCTTTTTTGAGCAGTGGGCCAGAGAAACACATGCATGTATTGAGTGGCCCAGATGGCAGGCAGCTGGAGAAAGCATGCATGGGCTGTCTCCTGTCATTTGCTGCCCTGCACAAATGTGGGACATTTCTTTCTCATCTCCAAAAAATGTCAGATAGCCAGATTTTTTGTTTGTGTTTTGTTTCTTGAGACAGGCTCTTGCATGTAGCTCAGGCTGGCCTCAAACTCACTATGATCCTCCTGCCTCAGCCTCTCAAGTGCTGGAATTGCAGGTGTGTGCCACCATGCCCGGCTGACAACCAAGATTTTTATATGAAATCTTCAGATTTTAAAGTGCTGGAAATTAACTTTTTAAATAGAAAAATTATGTGCAGAATATTTGCAAGCTGAGAGCAGCCTGTGGTGCACCAGTTGGTGACCTCTCTTCCAGATGCTGAAAAAGACAGTACAGTACAAGGCCAGACTGCACCTGGGAATCCACCTCCCATTTTTTTCCACTGTAAACATGAAGACGCCAACAAGCACAGCAGGGCCTGAAAACCTCCTAGGAAAGAAAAAAAAGCATAATAACTCACCCACGAGTTGGTGAGGTGGCGCCAGGTCGCTACAAAAGGAGGTAAGTCAGCAGAAGGGAGGGGATGCTAACATCCTTTTTCAAGCCGGGCCCCCCAGGTCCTACGAGGCTAAATACAAAAAGGACAATAGGTTGGAAAGAGAATGGAAAGTAAGGTGTTAGACCAAGAACAGAGCAAGACTTTGGGCCTCCTAAACAAGTCGGGAAGTGATGTCATCTCTTATCTAAAAATGATGCAGCTTCCCTGGATCCTTTCCAACATTTTAACACTTGGACCTGGAGGCACAGGTTTATGATCCCAACCCTCTGGGAGGCTGAGGTAGGAAGATCACGAATTCAAGTCCCATCTGAGTAATTTAGCCAGGCCATGTCTCAAAATAAACAAAATGAAAAGGACTGGGTGTGGGGGTGTACACTTGTAATCCCAGCATTCTAGAGGTTGAGGTAGGAGGATTGTAACAAGTTTCAGGCTAAGCCTAAGCCACTGAACTCAAAGCTGGAATACACAGCAAGACTCTGTCTTGAAAAAATTAAAATGAAATAAAAAGAGCTGAGGGTATAGCTCAATGTGAAGGGTTTAATTCCCAGTGGCACAAAAAGGAAAAAAAAAATAATGGCAACAAACAGAAGTCTCCAACTCTTACATAAAAGACAGGATCTGCTAGCATCTGACAAGGTACACTGTAGAACATCATGTTTATGGAAAAAGCCCCTTCATATGCAACTCTACTATGTTGTCCCCAATAGAGGAAAATGGCATTGGGGGCAATCAGAATGGTTTCCAACGGTTCTGGAAGATTCAGAAAGGAGACCTGTGTGAATAAAAGATCAAGGCCCCTTCTCTTTCCCTGTGAGTATCTTTGCAGAATCACATTCATTCAACTCACTGAACACCTTCTATGGGCTTGGCACCCTCTTTTTGGGAACACAACAGTAACAAATCCCTGGCATTTTTCTTTCCATAGGCTGGGTCAGTCATCCTTAGACTGAGCTGCAGCTCAGATTGGACTTACCCCATCCCTCTTTGGTCAAAGCAGTGACTTCAGGCCAACTCTTGTGTTTTGCTCCAGAGACCTTGGCTGTTTCCCTATTGGTTACTTCCTGGAATAAACTGTCCTGTGCCAGGAACACAGCATGCTTTTATATGCTTGAGGCATAGATAAATGGTAGACTCAGACATAAATTCCAGCCATGCCTTATCCTGACCTACTTTTACATGTTTCAGGTGACACACAATTTCCTGTGCACACACTCGAGAGCAGGGATGGTATGAATGGCTTCTCTTGAAGCACAAAATAGAGCCCAGCTGGTGAGGAGGCCAATTCCTCTGATGATTCCATCTTGTGGGAGATGTGCCTGAGGCACAGGACCATATGCTAAATATATGTAGGGCAGTCCCACCAGTTCTCTCATGCTTAAGACCCCATCAGTTTTTGTTTTCAGACAATCACAGTCTCCTATTGACTATAGAATGGTGTCTCCCCAAAAGATAGGCCCTAGTACCTGTGAAAGTGACCTCACTTGAAAACGTCTTTGCAGATGTCATGAAAGTAAGGACATCAATTGAGATCATCCTTGATTAGGGTTGGCCCTAAACCCAATGACATGCTATCCAATGGTGTACTTATAAGAAACTGAAAAGGAGAATATACACACTGACATTAGGGAGAAGACCATGTGAAGATAGAGACTGGATTTATGCTATTACAAGCCAAGGAACACTAAGGATGGCTAGCAGCCACCAGAGAAAAGAGAAAGGCATGGAATGGAGTTACTATCGGAGCCTCCAGGAGGAACCGACTCTGAAGACACCTTGATTTCATATTTCTGGTCCCAGAACATATGTCTGTGGTTTTAAACCACCAAGTTTGTGGTCATTTGTTACAACAGCTCTAGGAACAAATATAAAGATTAGATTTGTTTTTCTCTTCTGAGCAGGGATTACCATGTATAACTTGCCAGGAAAGTGCGGCCTTCCTTCCACTGCCCTGGGGCCTTTACCAACAGTTCTCAGATGACAGTATAATGCTCAGAAAGATACCCAAAAAGTGTCCACCCAAGCAGGTGTCTCTGTTCACCAGCAGAGGAGATCCAGGGCTTCCTGTGAGGTGCTAGGTTCTGTAGCTTCAGGAGAGGTAGCATCAGTGTTTTCTTCAGTATCAGATCTGTCTGCTCCAGTCTCAGCCCTTTCTTCCTGCCTGATTCCAAGCTGTTTTCTAGCTGTTCTTCTGCAACTTCTAGTTCTTCCTGTTTGTAGAATGGCCACAGTTTCAGGGCAAGTTTGAAGAATGTAGCCCAAATTTGGCTTTACAACCAAACACTGCCTCATGTGGACTTTGCAAGGAGGGAAATCAAAGGCCTGATTCCTCACCATCTGCATGAATCGTGGAATCGTGGGCCTTCAGCCCAGTGACATGAGTGGTTACTTTGCATTAACGTATTTATCATGTTCTTCACATCATGTCTTGCTTGTTCCAGGGAGCTCTGGTCTTGGGAAGGGTGGTAGTTAGAGACAATCTTAAGGTCCAGCCATACTTCATTGAGCCCATTAACAAGTTGGTTTGTGAACTCTAGGTCATTGTCAGAACCTAACACACTGTCAAGAATTGTGAAAATAGTCAACAAAATACTGACTACCTCATTAGCCTGTTTGGTCTTCAAAGGCCATAAAACATAAGCTTGGTTGAGTGGTCCTGATAATATAAAATAAACTTGAATTTGCCATCAGCATTTGACTGCATATCAAGTATTTCAACTTGGCATCTGGAGTCCACATCCTTAAAAGTCATGGGCTTGGGTGCAAGGCTTCTCTTGGGTACTGGATTTTGCTGGTGGCACGGTTTACGCAGGGTCAGATGTGAGACACGACTTCTTTGGTGACATTCTCTTATTTTCCTTGGAGCTCCTCAAGTATGTGTGTCTGCCCACCATATCTGATACCGAGATGTGTATGGTAAAGGATATCAAGCAACTCTTATGTACATTAAACCATATTCCATCTCACTCTCCATAAGTAGCCTTCACTTGGAGATCACATTATTATTTTGCTGCAAGGTGATAATCACGTGATGACTTCTTCCCCTTTTCCTTAGCTTCTTTGACTTCCTTTATTGTTTGTTTGTTTTTCCTTTATTGTTTGAAATGACTTTTCTTTGGAAAATAACTTACTGTTAGAACTTTCGATTTCTACTAACTTTGTTCTGCTTGTAAGAAATTTTTCTTTCATGCTACTCATCTCCATTTCCATTTCATTAATTTGTATTTGATACACCCAGTAGATCATTTCTAGTTCTCTGTGGAGAACTGAAAGACGGGTCCTAAAAAGGAGACAAAGAAAACAATCCAGTTAAATTTGCTGATATTCCGCTGACTTACCCTCAAAGTTCCTCACTAGTTCTTTCATCTAATTTTGAAGACTATTACATGGAAGAAGGATAATAGAATTTTATAAAGCAACCAGAAGGCCAACCAAGACCCTTCAAGACCAGAATGTGTCAATAGAATGTGAAACTGGTAAGATCATTCACATGTAGTAATTTTAGACTTCCAGACACAATGGAAATTAGCAGACACAATAATGAAATTATTACTTTATACAGTGAAACCTAATTAACTGGTCTTTGTTAAAAATTAAGTAGGAGGGAGGATAAGTGGCAATCCCCAAGGTGGCAGGCTAATATCTTACCCTTACTATCTCCTAAAATATAGAAATGGGAGAATGTTGCTAGAGGGCACCATATAATAACAGTGAACATTTAGATAGGAAGTTAGCACCAGAGAATGTATTTTCAGTTTTCCTATAACCAACATACATCAATTTCCCCTGGCTGAAGAGTGTCTTCCTTTGGGGGAATCAAGAAGAAATCAGTAGAGATTTAATTTTTTTTGTGTTTTTGCAGTGCTGGATATTGAACCTGGGCTCTGTGAATACCAGGATAGGGCTCCACTGTGGGCTGGCTATACCACCCCTCACCCTAATATTTTTAAATGATGGGTTTTTCCTGATAATTGTACATAGAATTAATAAATGAAGATTTTGAGTACTTAACCTGAGGGACTGTGTTCTCACAACTGTCTAACATTGTGCAGTCCTGTATCAGTCCTGAGAGGCTTCCAAATATGTTCAGTTTTCAGTATGAACCTCATTATGTTCTTGCCTCTTGGAACAATACTGGCTGCTGTCACAGGAACCACTTTGTCTCAGGGCTTGGGCTAAGAAGTAGCTTTAGTAGGACCAGGCAGAGATGATAGAGGATACCAGCAATAAAGGCACCAACAACTCTGAATGTAGATTATGTGACTATTACATGGAAGAATTAAGAAGAAAGTATTACACCAAACAAAAGGGGCCTCCTGCGACGTCTATAAAAAAAAAAAAAAACAAAAAAAACTTGCTTGTTTTGACACTACCTAAACAGGAGCTCATGTTTCCAGAATGAAGCACACAATTCATATGAACCTGAGTACTACAAAGCAGGGAGACACTTTTAGGTACAGGCTTGATGGCTTGGAACAGAGGCAGGAAGATCTGTTTCCAGAAATGGAAATATCACACTTTTGTATGTAGAAATATGTCAGATTACTATGCCAAAAAGAGATACCCAAATGGAGTACATGCCACCAAAACTGGAGAATTCCTCAGGAAGGAAACAGACACTCAAGTGTCTAAAGCAGGACTCCTTAGTTAGAATAACTCCAAGATACAAGATAAGGCCAGAGGAAAAGTTCTTATGATGATCCCAGCAACCTAACAAGTTTAAGAAAAGAAGATCCCCAGATACACAGTTGAGCAAGGCAGAATCTTGAGAAAGAGAAAAATGGAAAATTTTTAAAGCTCTGAGCAATAATCCTGGTCAAGCCCAGCCAACTTCTAGGTACTGAAGGTCTTCCACTAAAGAAAGGTTTCAAATTCCCTTCCACGGCATCACTGTGTAATCATAGGATTTATTTATTTATTTATTTGGGTGGTACTGGGGATTGAACTTGAGTCCTTGCATTTGTGAGGCAGGCTACCAAACTGCTGAGCTAAATCCCCAGCCCTTATCATAGAATATTCTTAACCTTAAGATGCTACTAAAAAAAAAAAAAAAAAAAAAAAAAAAAAAAAAAAAAAAAAAAAAAAAAAAAAAAAAAAAAAAAAAAAAAAAAATTAAGTTAAAAAAATCAAAAAGATATTACTTAGAACCCTTATTAATGTATTGACAAGACATGTTTAAACCCAAAAAGGTGACAAGTATGCATTTTAGAATTGAAAAAACAGAACTCTTGCTAAATGCTCTTTATATTAAGCCTGGGTTAAAGATTTCACAGCAAATTGATTTTTCTTTTTCTTTTTTGGAGACAGGGTCTCCCAATGTAATTCAGGTTGGCCTTGAACTCACTATGTAACCCAGGCTGGCCTCAAACTTGTAGCAGTCCTCTTGCCTCAGGCTCCTGAATACTGAAATTACTGGTGTGCATCACTAGGCCCTACTTTTCAAAATGATATTTTAAAGAATCTGAAGTCTTGGAATAAAGAAACCAGTTTAAAACTGGGTATGGTGGTACATACCTATAAATCCAGCACTCAGGAGGCTGAGGCAGGAGGATCACAAGTTTGAAGCCAGCCTGGGCTACAAAGTGAATTCAGGGGTAGCCTGGACTACATAGCAAGATTCTATCTCCAAACAAAGACCACCAAGGGCCAGGGGTTTAGCTCAGTGGTTCTGCCACCTGTCCCACAAGCGTGAGGTCCTGAGTTTGATCCCTGGTACAAGACATAAAAATAAAAACCACTAATTTTAAGTTTGTTTCATCCCTTAGTGCCATTTAACCACTGATATGGGACTTTGTTTTCCAGGGAATGCACATTTACCAATCCATGGATATAGTGAAGATATTTTAAACTGCAAGGTATTCAATAGGATCCAGGAAGAAAAGTCAGATTCCTCACTGAAACCGCAACACTCATCAACTGAGTGGCTGTTTTGGTTGTTATTTAAGGCCTTTCAAGTAACTCTGTTATAGACAGCTAAGTTAGATAGAAATTAACAGACAATCAGAAACACTGCAGAAGATGAGACACAATAAGATTATGGCTGAGCTGAATCTGAAGAGAGCCAGGCCTCAAGATGGAGATTTGATGGCCAGGCCCGCAAGCCTCCCTAGAAGTAAACAGCATCTTGGGACTGTACTGTAATTAGCACCCTCTGGTCCAGAGAGCCTAGATAATACATCAAATGCACAGGTGGGTGACCAGAACACCCTGACCCATATTCCCAACCCTTTCCAAGAATGCCTTTGTTCTATGTTAGAAGTTATGGTAAGCAAAAGTTAATGATGCTAGCCATATAGCTTTGTTATGAGCTTGATTCCCTATTGGGTCAATATTAGCTATGTGACAACACTTGTAATCTTATAGGTTGATTGTAGTTTGATCTATAGCTACCTAAATTGTGATTTTGCTGTATAAAATACCTTTGACAAAGAGCCTCAGCATCAACCCACTTTGGGTTTCCTCCTGTCTCTCAGGAGCTTTCTCTCAATAATCTTTTCTTACTTTTTTCTTTACCCTCAAATCCATTCTTCTGTATTGGGAGACATAAACTTAGCACATCTGACTCCAACATGTTGGGAGTCACTTCCCTGTGTAACTCCACAGGAGGGGAAAATCTTATTTCCAGCCTACAAAAGAAAGAGAACCAAGTGTGATGGCACATGCCTATAATTCCAGCTATTGAGAAGGCTGAGGCAGGAGGATTGTAAATTTGATGATAGCATGGCAACTTAGTGATACCACGTTTCAAAATAATTTTAAAAAGGGGTTGAAGATGTAGCTTAGCGCTCCGTCGGTTTAATTCCTTGTCTACCAAAGAAAACAAAAGAAAAATTCCTTCTCCGCAAAAAGAAAACAAGCAAACAAGAATAAAAACAGGCTGGAAATAGCTTATTAAAAAAGACATAAACTTTTAAGTCTTTAACCAATTGGAGGTCTTGGCTGATCCAAGAGACACAAACTCTTCTTACATATTTTTTAGGAGTAACACCTGATCCATGACCTTCTCAGGGTTAATATGAGATGGCTCTCAACTCTACTATAAAATTCTATCACATGGCCAAGGGGCCACAGTTGGCTTACAAACCTATTTTAGTTGGGCCATTCAGTGATTTTCTTTTTCCTTTCTTTTCATTTATTTGGTTGAATTTTATTTATATTTACATATTGGGGGATTTCACATAAAAATCTGGATTTCTGGCTTTCTTGAAAAATATTAAGATTTGGCCACACAGAGGACATTGCTGTCTGGGAACAAATGGCTAGAGTTAAAGAGGCAGCATCTTGCCTTGCATGGCACCTGTAGTCTCCAGTTTCCCAGTCATTAAGTGACCTACTAATTTATTTATCTTGCCCACTCAGCTCTGTAGATTTCTGAGTTTTCAAACTTTTCTAAAGCAACATGAAACATGTGGCCCCAAATCAGTCAGGTTTCTGGCGTGACCAGTACTGCTAGGCTAATTGATAAATCAGTTTGGTTAGAGAAGTGGGTTCTGGGAATCCATATTTACTCCCTTCCTTACCCACCTGTGAGTTTGCTTTGGCTTTTCCAGCCCTGGACTGTCCTTCCATCTATCTTCCAAATCACAGTCGCCTCAAATGAGTCCTTGAAGTATTCAAGCAACTCCTCCTGATTAACATTTCTCTCCTCTAAACAGCCTGTATTGGAATATTCTGCTTTTCGCATTTTTATTCAACTGGCTGTATATAACCTAGAAGGGCAAGGGTTGAAGATTCTACCGACCTGTATCCCCTCACGACTGATAAGAATTGAACACAAAAGATGTTCAAAGGACGTTTGTCAAACACATGGCTTACAGTTATGCGCTATGCGTGAGGCTCTGCAGCAGTATGGTGTCCTCTTACCGTTTACTGTGTCCCTAAGGCCAAGTTACCGGGGCTTCAGTATTCTCCCTATTAGGGGGAATCCAGTATCTATCGCAACAGATTGCTAGGAGGATTAGATGATACTGCAGGGACATTAGTTGGCACAGTATCCCCGAACTCTACCTAACACAGAAACTCGCTTATTTCGGGGGCCGGGTTCCGGCATCGTCTCCTCGGTGTGGCCTCCTGGCCTGGTTTCCGCAACCTCGGCAGCCACCGCCAGCTCCGCAGGCGCTCGGCCGGCTCATGGCTAGATAAGCCGGGGCAAGGTGCAGAGAACATCAAATCCTGGGGGTTTTGTAGGACACCGAGGTGAAAGGGGACATGCAGGTACCCACAGGTATGTCTCCATCGCCTCTTGCCCATTAATCATTCCCCGCCTGTTACCAGCCGCCCGCCCACCGTACCGGAAGCCAGGCCGAGCCGGAAGTCCCACCCCTCGGCGCAACAGACCCTGAGGAACCCCTTTATCTTCTCGCACTGCCAGAAGATCGCACCCAGCCAGGTCAACTTCTCAGATTTAGTGATATTGCTGGCATAGGTGTATTCTTAGCTAAACCAAGTCACTTTACCACTTTCCTGATTGTTGTAAACCCGCCAAAATAAATGCTTCCTGTTTTAGGTTGTAAACCGACTTCAGCATTCAGCCTAGAGTAATAGCAGTACATTAAGTTCATGTAACTGGTTCAGCTGCCAACTGCTGGCCATGCCACACGTTAGAGAGTTTACACTTTAGATGCACATTGTAACCCCAAATTTTGCTAGGTTTTGGACTAAAACCACCACCAGAACCAGTGTAAAAAAGTATAGGGGCCTCACTGGTAGTTCAGAGAACCTGAAACTCAATTAGAGGAACAGCATGAAGCAGTGGTGTAGATACTATTGGCAAGTCACAGCACCTTCTCATTTCAGGAGCAATTTTTTTTTGTCCAGTGACAAACTTTTATGCAATAAAATTTCAAAATATACTCTATATCCACAGCATAAACCTATTAGGGAAAAGACAAGTCCTAGGAATGAGCTGCCTTTTGGGGGGGGTACCGGGGATCAAACTTGGGTCTTTGTGCTTGCGAGGCAGGCAGTGGAACCACTGAGCCAAATTCCCAGCCCTGAATCACCTTTTGTTGTGGATCTTCTCAAAATCTTCTGCTTACTATGAGGAAAACAAAACCCTACCTAGTGCTGGGGATGTAGAGTTCAGAAGATGTGAAGCCCTGGATTCAATTCCTAATGCAGCAAAAACCAAGCTATCAGCTCTGATTTCAAAAACAAACCCATCAGCTCTGATTTCAGCAAACTGTTAGGGAGAAAAAAATCTATTACTAAAAAAGCTGATCCTCACACGTGAAAGACTAATTCTACTTAAATGACATTTTTCAGCAGTGGACTCCAGCTACAAGAATGGCTGCCTCCAGTGCTGGGGATTTAGCTCAGTGGCACTGCACCTCTTGCAAGGGAAAGGTCCTGAGCTCCATCCCTGGTAGGAGTTGGGATGTGGGGGAAATGGCAATAGCAAATATCCTTGAGCTTCCCTTTCCATCCAGATTCAGAGGATGACTGACAGGTGAGACCCAGCCACTGAAGAGATGCCAGTGTCCAAAGCACAACAAAACAGAGGAGCTTCATTTTAGCAATTTTAATTAAAGTTGTATACAAGAGGACTTTATTCCTGCATCTTCTCAATTGTTTCTTCCTTATATTTGCCCTTTTCCTTTCCTACTTGGCGAGATTTGGCTTTCCGTTCCAAGATCTTTTTGCGGTCTTTGTCCAGTTTTAGCCTGGTGATGACCACCTGCAAAAAAAACCAAACAAACCAAAAACACTCCCAAGCTTTACATAATTGCTAACACAAAAGGTCCAATGACCAATGCATGTCCCAAACCCAAGGCAGATTAACTCAACATGAAATGATTACTGTATATAACTTTAAAAGTTTCAGAAACTACAGTTGAGCTCCTCAAATCAAACCTGACTCAAACTCTGGGAAAGGCAAGGTAGTTTTTCTCAGTTTTTTCTGTGCTTTATAAAAACTCTAACCTGTCTTTTTTCTGCAAAATTTAACTATTCCATGTCTCATCAGTTTTATAAGCTAGCCAAGACATACACAAACATTTTTGTTTTGTAAAGTGTATAATTCTAAAGCTACAAATCAACTCAGTTATTCCCATTCTAGGTATCTTCCAGAAAGAGTTAAAGACATATTACAATGATATTTGCATACCCATGTTTATGGCAGCACAACTCATAATAGCTAAATTTTGGAAGCAGCCTGTATACCCACAAACAGATGAATGGATAAAGAAAGTGGAGTATTTAACACATTGGAGCCCTCTGTGCCACAAAGGATAGATCTGAGTTACTTCTAGAAAAATAGATGAACCTTGAGACAATAACAAAATGAAATAAGACACCTAAGCTTAAACATTCCAAGGTTTCTAATATGAGAAACCCGACAATAACAGGTAATAGGCAACATGAAGAGAGATCTTTTGAAAATAGGTAGGGAACCAAGAGGTGGAGAAAAGAGGAAGGTGAGATGTGTTACATACATGCACCAATGCCCCATGATGAATATAAACATTATGTACTTCAAACATCTAATACAATTTTTAAAAATGAGTGTGTGCATGCCTGTAATCCCAGCACCCAGGAGGCTAAGGCAGAAGGATCACAAGTTTGAAGCCAGCCTGAACCACATACACACTAAAACCCTGTCTCAATTCCTCTTCCCAAAATCCAGATCTAATCCTAAAGCACAGATATAGGGCACTTTAATCTTGTGAAGGAAAAGTGAAGAGAGCATAAAATACAGCCATGCTGACTAAAACACAAGATCACAAAGCTTATATTGCACATTCTAGTATAGTGAGATAGAGAACAAGTAAATGGGGCCAGGGATTTAGCTCAGTGGTACAACCATCCAGTACCAAAAACCAAAAAAACCAACCAAGTAAACGTACTCTTCATCTTTATATAGAGAAATAAGCAAATCAGAAGGCTGAAGAACAGGGGCTATTCTCTACAGGGTGATCAGGCAAAAGTCCTACTGCTAAAGCTACATTTTAAGAGACCACAACGGTGAACCATCTAGGTTACAACTATCCATAGAAAACAGCAAATTAAATGCCCAGGCAGGAGAACTTGGTAAAGCACTTGCCTTAGCAAGCACAAGCCTCCGTGTTTGATTCCCAGTATTATAAAAAACAAAAAGCACACAACGTATATCTAGGTTGCAACTACCAATTTCACCTCAGAAGGCCTGTGAACCTAGAATTTACAAATCAATCAAATTGCAGGTAATGCTGCCAACCAGCAGATGTAATATACTGAGTAGCAGCATGGTTTAGGAACACCAAGAGGCCAATGGAAAGATAGTCAACTAGCAGCTGGTGAAGGGTTACTGGGTAAGGTCTCACTACTGACCCCGGCAGTAACAAGTAGACAGGATTCTAGATAAAATGTGACAGCAATGAAGAGAGTCTATTGACTGATGTGGAGTATATAAATAAAAAATGGGGCTGGGGATTTAGCTCAGTGGTATCCCAGTTACTGCAAAAGAGGTTATTTTTGGCCCGAGCAATGGGAGGACAGTTGTCATACACTGGGATGGGAGTTCTCAAGGGCAAAATGAGGAGTTTGAACATGTCAGGTCTGAGATATTGATTATCCACGTTGAAATGCAAAATTAGAACCAAATATTGAATATAAAGTTCAGGGGAAAAAGAACTGAGCTGGAAACATCAGCTCCTAGATATCCAAAATTCTAAGAACGGAAGAGCATGACCACCTTGCCACTCAAAGATCAACTGTGTCACATGCTTCCTGCACTAAGCACTCATTGAACTGACAACCTTGACAGCTGCTCTAGTGGCAAGAGGCAAAAATGATCCTAGGATAGAATGGCAAAGTCCTTGCTCTTAAGAAATTCATACTAATGTAACTAAAGTGTTTTAACCCTAAGTGTCAAGAAAATCTGTCAAAATTTTAATAGGGAATTCCAGGTGAAAGACAAACATGTTTTATTGTTCTAACCTGTGACTTTTCTGTATTGCACCAATGTAAGATCTAATCCCTCCCCTAGTATTTTACTCTAGATGTAATTTTTAAATGGTCAATAATTAAAAATTCAAAGTAAATGTTAGACCAGATTTTCTTTTTCCTTTTTTTTTGAGACAGGTCTCACTATGTAGTTGAGACTGACCTGGAACTCACTATGTAGCCTAGGCTGGTCTTGAATTCACAGGGATCCTCCTGCCTCAGACTCCCGAGTGCTGGGATTACAGGAGTGCGCTACCACGCCTGGCTAGACCAGATTTTCTTTTTCCTTTTTTTTTGAGACAGGTCTCACTATGTAGTTGAGACTGACCTGGAACTCACTATGTAGCCTAGGCTGGTCTTGAATTCACAGGGATCCTCCTGCCTCAGACTCCCGAGTGCTGGGATTACAGGAGTGCGCTACCACGCCTGGCTAGACCAGATTTTCTACATTGACTTAGACCTATGGGATCTAACCACTCAGCTTCAATTTTTTCCCGCTGAAAATGGTCTAAAATCTACCTCATAAGATTGTAAAGCTGCTTTACTGCTTACGTGACTCCACTAAACACACAAAACCAAACAGGGCTGGAGCTCAATTTGTTTTTTCTTTCTTTTTTTTTGGAGATAGGGTCTATGTAGTTCATGCCAGCCTTGAACTCACTATGCAGTCCAGGCTGGCCTCAAATTCATGGCAATCCTCCTGCCTCAGCCTCGAGGGATGGGATTACAGGTGTGTGCCACCACGCCTGGCTCTACTTTTTAGATTTTAAAATCTATCAATGATCAGATTGCTGATCTACTAGCTCCGAATGTTAAGATGATTTCAGAAACATTTTAAATATTATAATTTTTAATGTAAATACTGTATTGCTTTAAGACATGGTTCCCAACATATCTAGAATCAGGGACTATTTCTGAGGGTGTTCTAAAAATAAGCAATCACATCTGCCAAGAATAACTATCATAATTTTCTTTTCTCTCTTGAGACAGGTCTCACTTTGTCGTTCAGGCTGGCCCCGAACTCACTGTGATCCTCCTTCCTCAGCCTTCCAAGTGCTGAGATTACAAGCGTGTGCCACCACACCTGGCTTCTCTCTCATTCTTCAAAACACTCACCTTGCTAGGGTGAATGCCCACATGGACAGTTGTGCCATTTGCCTTTTCCCGCTGCACCCGTTCAATGTAGATGACATATTTCTTCCTGTAAACCTGGACCACTTTGCCAATCTGCTGACCTTTATAGTGTCCTCGCACAACCTAAATTTAAGTTCAGAAAGAACAGAAAACTATGGGTCAAAGAACAAGATTAACCTTGTAAATCATAACTACCATGCATATACCATTCACTCTATTATGAGATATACAGGATTTTTCAATTTTAAAAGCCTTGACTCTATTCCTGACTTTAACAAACTTGTAAATAATCCATACCCCCATCAACCTTATCCCTACAGCTGATAGCCACCGACACTGGCAGGCTACTCAAAAGGTTAAACGGGAGCCACTCTTGGGGCTCTTTCTGTAGGAAGCTGACAAGGAATTATCTCAAACACAACACACCAAAAGCTTTTGGTTTTTTTGAGTCAAGGTCTCACTGTAGTTCGTTCGTCTTGAACTCACAATGATCCTCCTGCCTTAGGCACCCAAGAGTGCTGCGCAAAATAACAATGATAATGCAGATAAGAGATACTTTAGAGACTACCTGAATTAGTCACTAGGTGCAGAATAACCCTAAGACACAGTCATAGATTTTTTCTGGTACCGGGGACTGAACTCAGGACCTTGTGCTTGTGAGACAGGCGTGGTGCCACTGAGCTAAACCCCCAGCCCTAGTCACAGAATTTTTACTAAAGTAGATTTGGTAAGGGAGGACAGGGGTATGGGGAAAAAAACAAGAACCAAGATCTGTCATGTAAAGGTACAGGATCCCAGTGTACTATATACTTAAAAAGTACCAATAAACTCAGTAAGATTTAAAAATAAAAGTAGATTTGGCAAATTTATTTACCAGTAAATTCAAACACGTTACCAATTCTCTTTTCTGGACCTCATATGACTCTTCAATGACCAAATACACTGACAAAACCATCCCAACTGTTCTTACTGCCTGTCTTGCTGTTTCATTCAATCATAGCTACATTCAAAGCATAAGAGGTTGATTTGCACCAACGAAAAAAACTGCAAAGCAACATGCTTTGGTCTGAATCTTGCAACCCCTCTTCTGAACTAAGCATGTGAGTTTCCATCAAGACGATCTGAACAAACGGGATACATACCTGAACCTCATCATCTTTTCGGATGGGCATAGATCGAACATTGTACTTCTGTCTCAGCTCTTTCGAAAGAGGGGAAGACATAATCTTCCTGCGAATGTGGGAAGGTGCATTGAAATGCCTTTTACGGTTCTTGCTTCGGTCGGAAGTCACAAAAGGATTGAACTTCATTTTGGCTAAATAAAAAATTCAAAAGAACCTTAAATGACTACCATCTCCTCTTGAAAGTTTAAAGTGCTAACAGAAGGTGTGATGTTCTGTAACTGCTTGGCCTATCAAGTAAAGCTTGAAATCTAAAAGAAAATTCATTAACATGTTTCAGTTATAAAACTTTGATTACACTTTCCAAGCTCCTTAAATACTGCACGAGGGAGCCAAGACTGGACTTATAATAGTCTCTGCTGAAACAGGACAAAGCAGACGGACAACTAAGCTCTCCGTATATAACATTGAATTTTCAGCCGCTCCAAAATTAGATCTTCCCCCTCTGAACCTGGAAATTCTCGAACATTTCTCGGGCCCAAAAAGCCTTTCAACGGGCGAAAGTGATTTGGAAGCTCTGTAAAATCGTTAACAAGCACAGCTGTTTGGAAATCGTTCTGTGGTAAACTACACTTCGCAGACATGACTACCTCTACAGACTCCCTTCCCGGCGGGCCCTCTTTCCGAGACCGCCAATCCGTCCCTTCTCCCGACTGAGAAGCGGACCCTGGAGCTGAAAACAGGCTGAGACCATTCCAACCCCCCTCCCTGGTTGCTGTCCGGCCAGCAGGAGAATCTCGAGATCTCCAAGATAGAAAGGCACCGTGCCCAGGAACGGATGGCTGCGGATTACACGCACTTCGCCGCCCAAACCTTACCCGTTGCAGATCCAGCGATGGCCGCAAAAGGGAAGAGGTCTACACGTTGCTTCCGGTTCTGTAAGTTTACGACAAACCTCGCGAGACCGATGTCTTTTAGAGCAAGAGGGACACGGGATTTCAACGAGAAGAGGAAATTTAAAAGAAGTTGATGACTAGTGTCACCTGGTGACTTGGAGGGAAACTGCAAGGGACGGCAAAATCTCTCTTACAGGTAGGTAGGTCCCTTTTGAGGGATGGAGCGCCCTGTTAAATCCTCTCAGAAGGGGTGACCTCGGGAGAGTGGCTGGGAGCTTCTCCCTGTCCCCTTCCCATTTGCAAAAGATCTAGGTTTCGCTGTTTCCTATTATCTATCTTTTATTTGGCTCTTTGAATTAGTTGTACTTTGAATTTCTCATATCAGAGAAATCATGCAATGTTTAAGTTCGTGTGTCTAATTTATTTCACTTCCTACTTGTTCCGGGTTACATCCATTTTTCTAGAAATGACTCAAATTTATACTAGTTAGTAAAGTAGTACTGCACTGTGTAGAAACACCACATTTTTTAAATAAGAGCACTGATTTAGACCCCTCTTCAATACGAGGATCTGCTGTTTTGGCTTCCAAATTTTCTGCCTATTCTCTTTCCAGGATCTGAGGGAACAGGGTGCGGGATTCTGAGGCATCAGTGTCTACTGAATGAGTAATACAAATTTCATACTGACAGGTGACACAGATGATAATAATATGTAAGATGTGGGGACTTGCTGCGTGCTAGGGACACTGCTGTGCCCTTTACATTATTAACTTTTTTTTTTTTGAGACAGGGTCTAGCTATGTAGCCCAGGCTGGCCTTGAACTCACAGCGATCTTGAGTCACTCTGAGTTCTGGAATTACAGGCGTGAGCCACCATGCCCCGCTGTATTATTAACTTCTTTAATCCATAAAATAGTCTTGCTGATGCTGGTATTATTATGGTCCCTATTTTAAAGATGAGAGAACTGAGCCACAGAGAAGTGGAAGTGCCCATAGTTTACAGCTGAACCCACGCAGATTGACTCCCCAGCCAGTCTGATAACTTTGTACGTGGCCCAAATTTGTTGGAACCTGCTGAGTCAAATCAAAGAGTGAGAAACTGTATATTTGACAGTTCACAGTAGTCAGTAAAGAACATGTGTTTTCAATGGGAAGGGTAGGGGAAAGGTAATAAGGGAAAAGAAAAAAAATGAGAAAATAAAAAAATGGAAAGAAACTATTTGTAAATAGGAAAGGGAGGAGGTGTGAAGGGAGAGCAGGGGTAAGGGGAAAAAATGAGAACCAAGACCTGTCATGTAAAGGTACAAGATCCCAGTGATGGATGTAACTGTACTGTATACCTAAAATGTACCAATAAACTCAAAGAGAGAGAAAAAAAAGGAACGTGTTTTCAACCAACAGAGTGAAGAAACAACCTACAGCGTGGGAAAGAATGTTGCCAGCTATTCCTCAGACAGAGTATTAATATCTTGAATATATAAAGATCTCAAAAAAATCAGACTTTCCCAAATAAAAGACTCAATTAAAAAATTGGCAACTGAAATGAATAAGCACTTCTCAGAACAAGTACAGGTGGCCAATAAATACATGAAAAAGTGTTCACTATCTCTGGCCATTACAGAAATGACAATTAAAACAATACTGAGATTCCATCTTACTAAAGAAAACTGGCTGTCATCAAGAAAGCAAATAATAACAAATGATGGTGAGGCTGTAGGGAAAAAGAAACCCTTCTTTACTGTTAGTGAGAATGTAAGCTAACTAGTATAGCCATTATGTAAATCAGTACTGAGGCTCCTCAAAAGAGTAAAAATAGAAATTCTGTTGACTCAGCTATTCTCTTTCTAGATATCTTCCCAAAAGAATTAAAGTTAGCATAGTGCAGTGATACATGAATATCCATGTTTATAGCAGCACAACTCATAATAGCTAAATCTTGGAAGCATCTTACATGACCCTTAACAGATGAATGAATAAAAAGAAAATGTGGTATTTATATACAATGGAGTACTACTCTGTCATAAAGAAGGAAAACTCGAGTCACTATAGAAAAATGGATGTACCCTGAGACCATAATTTAAGTGAAACACATCAGAAGAGACAAGCTTAAATATCACATAGTTTCTCTTAATGAGAAACTCAAAATATAAATAAAGAGCAAAATAAAAGCTAGATAATAGGAAATAGGAAGATAGACCTTTTGCAAAAGGGAAGGGGACAAAGAGATGGAGGGAGGCAAGAGAGAGAGAGAGAGAGAAGGGGCAAAGGGATTAAAAAAGAATTAAGATATGTATTGTAAAAGTACCAACTTCCCATGAGGAATGTAGTCATTATGTGCTGCAAGCATGTACTACTAAGAAATAAAAATTTTAAAAAAGAGTGTGTTTGCATGGTTCAAAAGTAGCTGTGTTGGCAGCAGACTTTTCAACACAAACCCTTAGGGCAAGGAGAGCCTGGAATAAGATATTTCAAGTACTAAAAGAGAACAACCTCCAACCTAGACTGATGTATCCTGCAAAACTCTCTTTTAAAATGGATGGGGAAATAAGACACTTCCATGACAAAGAACACCTGAGAAACTACATGAATACCAAACCAGCACTACAAGCAATTCTAGACAAGATCCTAGAAAGAGACAATGAAGGCAACAATGCCATGAGGCCCAACAGAGCAAATCAAATAGGCAAGGCAAGAAACTAAAAGGAGAAGGTGAAAAAGTAACAAGAGTCAACAAAAGGCCAATAGCATGTCAATAATGTCAGTACATATCAGTTATAACCAGCAAAGTCAATGGCCTCAACTCACCAATCAAGAGAAATAGCCTGACAAAATGGAATAAGAAGCAAAATCCAACAACATGTTGTATACAAAAAACACACCTAGTGCAAAAAGAAGCCCATAGACTGAAAAGGATGGAAAACAATTCTCCATGTGACAGGAACCCAGAAAAAAGCAGGTGTAGCAATCTTATTTGCAGACAAAGCAAATTTCAAACCAAAACGGATTCTAGTATTGTTGATGTAGGACGGTACTGTATCATACCTCTGTGAATGTAAAATATCTTGCACCTGCCTTATGATACATAGTAGTGACTGTCCTTTATCAGAGTTATATTTAATGATATTACTCTAGAATGTTCTCTTTCCAGATGGTGATTAAGATGCTAATAAAAAAAATGGTGCCAGGTACCACAACAGCAATAGAACTTTGCTGTTTTCTGGATATTATTTTCTTTT